GCTATTCATGCTGTCTGACTCCAAAGACCAAAAAGAGGCCTATTAATTATGATTCACTACCTATAATTTCCAAATTTGCTATTCTTTCAACAGGGCATTTTGTAAACGCATATGTTATTAGCCTATCAAATATCTTGACCAGATATTGGATATTTCAAATTAATTATTTCAAGCTAATTTCTTCCCAACAGAAAACCTCTTTACGACGTATGAATTAGTATTATATCAAGCTAATCTCAAAACCACCCCCTCTTAGCATACACTAATCTCACCTGAGTAAATGATTATGAAAGCCAGCAGAAAGGCTAAGTAAAATGTTTCTAAGTTTAAAAGTAAGCACTTACCAGATAGCATGGTTTTTAGTTAGGAACTTTTTAACAACATATCTATTCTACACCCAGCACGACAACAAAGAATACTACTTATTTCACCACTCCACAAATTAGAAAATTAATTCATTATGCTTCTACTTATATCTTCTTACACCTAAATAAATGTCTAAAATCCCAGAGTCTACCATTCAATTATAGGGCATAAATAGTTTTTATAACATTGTGCTAGGCGTTTCTCATTTTACATGATTTGACTGGCAGCAGAATTCACCAACATTCCAACTGTATGCAAGGACAAAAAACTAGACATTGGTAAAGGAACCGAATTGCCAAAAATGGCTTTAATAGCAGGAAATGGTACACATAGATGGCAAGTACTACACTTCTGCTAAGGACATCCCTAAGGACTAAAAAGAGGCAGAAGACTCAAGCAAAAGGTAGGTTCAAAAGTAGGGAAAAACCTAGACAGCCAAATTGCAGAAGGAAGGCATTCCCAGCAGGCATAATAAACAAAGCTAGTTAGGAAGCAACTTTCCTCACACTCAAATTCAAAGAGTAGGATAAAAATGAGGTTAAAGAGGTCGTTATAACCACACCTAATTAAGATCTGTTGTTGTTCCAGATAAAGAGAAGGCCACTGCTCCATTGGTAGATTATTTCTAAACTACTTTTCAGTGCAGACGTAATAATTTTATGATTCCTTCATCTATTCATTCAAATATTTTAGCAAGCACTACATGCCAAGCAGTGTTCTGGGTGCTGAGGATACAGAGTCCAGCCAAATAAAGTCTTCTAACATCACTCTACATAAAATTAAAGCTGAGTGTTTAAGATCTGGAGACAAACTTGGGCAAGCTATTTAATTTCTTTAAGCCTCAATTTCTAACATTAAAAAATGTGGTTTACCATCTAGGGTATTTGTGAGGATTAAATAAAAATTTGCCACATAATAAGCATTTAATCATTGTAACATCTTCACCCTAACTTCTTTGTAATCTGCTACTCGACATATTGTATCCCAGTAATTGACTTTGTTACAAAGTCTTTCTCTAGGTGAAACAAAGTTAAGCCTTGGCCTCAGTAAATCATCCTCATCTAAGCAAATCAGTCTAGACAGACTTGTACTTCTACTAATACTAAAAAGGCTGCACACTATTTGAATTTTATTCATTCATATTCATCTCAGCCATCAGTCCCACCTCACCCCAAAAACTCAATACCCCTAAGCCCAGGTGTCAGTATGGTCTCAGTTTCTTAGTTCCTGTCTGCATCTCACCAAGCATAATTCTTTTCTGGTGTTTTAAAGTTCTATGTTTTTGCTAATACAACATACCCCTAAACTTAAGCCAATTACTTCATCTGCTACTCCACTAAGGAATGTAGTCATAAATCATGAGTAGAACAAAGAAATTGAGTAGATTTACACCTGACATGAGGGCAGAATTGTGAAGTCTGCAGGTAAAGCAAAAATCCAATATAGTCAAAATCGCTCTTGAATTAAAATTCCCTGTTGTCTCCAGCTGAGGTACTTTAGTGCAGTGGAAAAGACACACAGCCAAACCTAGATTCAAATCCTCCTTCCATCACTTAGTAAGTAATTATGCAAGTCTGGACAAGACTTCTTTTCCTAAATGTATTTTCTCATTCAGAAAAGAAAGATACTACCACCTCAAAGGGTGGAGATGGAGAAGATGTGGAGATTAAAAAGAATACACATAAATGACCTCCTAGATTGCCTTCCCAACTCAATAGGTCCTCAATTACTGTTCAGGAAGGGAACAGCTAGTCTCTCATCATCTGCGAAAGAGCCAAAGACTGTAAAGCTTAAATCTAATCTTGTTTCCATTCAAATCAGATAAAAACAAATGCACTAGAGAAAATTTTATTTGGCAGGTGAAATAAACCACAACAACTATGATTGAGAACTACTACACAAAGCCAATTTTATGGAGAAAGGTTATAAACCTAAAAGAAATAGGTTGGCCATCTCTGCGCCACACTTCTTTCTATAAACATCAAGACCTAGTTTGCTAGGAGCAGTGAAAAACCAAGGAGAGGAGAAAAACCAAACCTCACTGTGTATGACAGAAGTCCTTTTGTAGCACAGCCCTTGATCAGGGAGCATGATGGTTAAGAGGGTGGGTTCAGGAATCAAAATTTTCTGGGTCAGAACATAGGCTATGCCAATTCCCAGATGTGTGACCTTAGGCAACATACTTAATCTCCCCCAGCCCCAGTATTTTTTACTATAAAGTGGGGCAAAATTAGTACCTATTCCCAAAGAACTGCTGTCAGGATTAAATAAGATCATGGCTGTGAAGCGCTCAGCATGCCTGACATGTGGTTAAGTGCTCAATGGTCACTCCTCCTATTCAACATGAAGACAAGGCACACTGTGGAAGCTTTTTAAAAAATAACCATACATCCTTTTCCCACAACGCTTTGAAGACTAATACTGGTTTGGGCAAGCATCGTCACCTTGAAAGTATTCAAATGAACAGCGTTTCAGAAATCACCACATATTCAACTGCCAATGCTAAAACTTGCTTCCCTTATTTGAGCACAGTTTTCAAGAAAAAGCAAAGACGATGACCAAGTGAAGATACTGAAACCCATCCACTAGCCAGGGTGGAAATCTCTTCTGTTTTGACAAGCGTCCTTCAAGTTATCATCACTTCGGGAGTCTTTGTTAGGGACCTCTTTTCAGTTATTTTTGCACAAAGGAGTCTTTGTTGGTACAATGGCTTCCTCACTGGTTGTTCTCAGACAATCCCTTCACACCAATACTTCCATTAGGGAGGACAATCAGAATTCATCTCTATTTGAAAAGATCTAACTAAAAAAAGGTTCTGAGTGTCATTCTGATTAAAAATCACTGGCCGCACTTGTTCCCATTTCTCTCCCTCCGCCCAAACACCCAGGTGGAATATTTCGAAGCCATTCCTCCAACACACCATATAAGGGGCAGCTCCACCCCATCCCTCCAAATATGGTCAGATCCCACACCCGCCCATAGAGCCATCATAGACAACCAGGAACCCACTCCTGCCCTGACCTACCATATACGGACAAATACCCACCCTAATATGCGGAACAGAGCTAAGCTCCTCCCTCTACACTCCCACTTCATTTCTAACAAGCCTGAAAGTTTGAGTTGGGTGAAGAAATTAAAAGGAGCACACCAAAAAACCAACTGAAAGCACTTCCCAGCACCAGTCCTCGATTCTCACGGATTCCAAACGTCACCCACTTGTCCAACTTAATGTGAACAACAACACTTCGCCCTCGGAGAAATAATCATACAGCCCTAAAGGGGCACATCGCGGGCAATAACGAAGCGTGTCTGAACAACCAACCCAAAGTCCATTATTACACACAGGCAACTCTAGGCCAAGCACACCTCGGTTCCACACGACCATTTCAAAGACTTTCCAGGTCTAGCTCTCCGCGCCTTCAGATCAGATGCCAACTTTCTGGTCGCCCTTTGCAGAAAAGGGGAGGTGGGCGCAGGCTGTCTCGTTACCAAGGTAACTACGAAACGTGCGACCGCCGAGGCCCGGGAGCCAGGTTTACCTTCAGATCCTTCTTGGTAACGTCGGGGTGGGAGACGGCTCGGATGGTCCCGGAGAGCCAGGGCCACTCGGCGACGCGCTCCACGTCCCAGCTGTCGTGGCCGCCGTCGCTGCCGTCGGCTGCGGACACGCTGAGGAATCGCTTCCCCACCAATACTGGCCAACTTTCTCCGAGCGTGAGCACCATGGTTTCCACGCCTGCAGGAAGGGCTCCTCCCTGCAAAAACACAAAAACAAAATGCAACGGGGGCGGCCGGCGGGAGGGGGCCGGCCAGCGAGGCGGCGGCGGAGCGAGCGGTCCTAACCCCGCGCCGGGCACCGGACCCCAAGCGGCGGCCGGAGCAAGAGAGGACCCTGCACCCGAGCTCTACCCCCGCGCCCTCCCCACCCCCGAGCCCTCCCCCACCGCAAACACGGGCCCCGGCGCCGCGTGACCCTCGCCCTCCCAAGTTTCGCTTTTCCAAAACCTGAAACCGAATCGCAGCGGGAGTGAGGGGAGAATTATTTGTGGCTTAAGTGGATTTGAAAGTGTTCGCCCTCACCCCGGAAAAGAAAAGGCCCGATGCAGAGGGCCCGTCCCAGGCGGCCGGTTCCCCGCCCCGGGCGGCCCCGCGGGAGGGGCGAGCCCGCGGTTCCGCACTTGCCCCGCCGCCCCGCCCCGACACCCCGCTTCCCGGCCGCCGACCCCCGGGCGCCCCTCGCCCTGGCCTGCGCCGCGACACGGGGGCGGCGGGGCCGCGGACTCGGCGCCTTCACCTTTCTTCCTCCTCTCCCCTCAGCCGAGGCCTCGGCGCTCTTACCCCGCCTCCCGCCTCCCTGAGTCACCGGCGGCGGCCGCCGTTTTCAGCCGCCCAGCCGACTCTAGCTCTGACTTGGTTCAAGAGCTCTCACAAGACACGCACAGCCTCCCGGGCCCGCCCCCTCGGAGCCGCTTCCGCCGCTCATTGGCTGAGTCCAAGGAGGGGGGCGAGGCTCGTGGGGAAATAGCCTGTCGCCATTGGCCAGGCTGGCGAGGGCGGGGCGAGAGAAAAAAACAATTCCTTGGCTGCCTCCTCCCTTTCCCCTCCCCCTTCCGACTCCCGGACGACCCCCATTAGGTTAAAGTACACAGAGCGTAAGCGAGAGATCCCTCCGCCACAGCCATTCTTTCCATTTGTTGCCTCACGGTATGCAAAAAAGTCCCGCGAAATCGGTTATCAACTTTAGGGCCCAGAGGAAAACTGCAGTGGTGCACAGATAAGACTGAATGGCGAACGCCAGGGCTGGAAGTGCCTATTGGATTGCTCTTCAAGTGCGTAGGCTGTCGACCGAAGATGAGCCTTCCACTTGGCGGAAGAATCTCACAGGAAAGGGGTGAGAGCGGCGCAGAGTCGGTGGGGGAGGGAAGAGACGGGAACGTGCGGTTTCAAGCGTACTCAGCTAGAGGGAGGAGCGACAGTGCTCTAGAGGCTCGTGCGCAGGCGCCTCGCGGAGCAGGGGGCTGGAGCTTGGGCTGCTGGGCGAAATGGCCGCGGGAGGCGCAGGCGCACGTGGTGCTGATCATGGAACGTCTAAACTCCGCCATTTTGAAGGAAAAATGAAGAAAGGCATGGGGTCATTGGGAAATGACGTTTATTAAATCTGGAGCAAAAGAGGCCATTCAGTACAATACAGAATGTGATTTTGCTTTATAAAGGGTGGATGAGAAGATACTTTGAGACTTACAAAGAAATTGAAAGACTAGAGGAAGGCCATAATGATGCAAGAAATATCAAAGAGGAGGTGACTTTGAAGGACAAAGGAGATAAGAGGTGATTGTGTGCTTGAGACCTGAAGTTTTTTGGTTGAGTGAAGAAGAAATGGAATGAAGGACTTCAAGACTTCTTATTTCATAAAGGCTGGTGCTTGACATGGCATCACATTTAATCATTAAGATAATGAGTGAAGAACTTATGCTCCCAATTTTACAAGTGTGAAAACAGCGTCAGAAAAAGTTCAGAAACTATTCAAGGGATTATAGATGCAAGATATCTCCAGGTGTTGATTTTAAAAATATATATTTTGAATATGTGACATTAAATAAATTTTAAAATTAAGGATAAACACTGAAGAATTAAATTGGATTTATAATTTGCAGACCATTAAAAGGGGGGAAATGAAACAAAGAAAACATATACAGTCCAACAAAAGTCAGAAATGGAAACAAGAAGAGAAAAACTAGATGAAGGTATGGTAAATAGAAAAAATAAAATGAGAAAAGTAAGTCCAAATATGAATATTTACAATAAATATAAATGGGTTAATTTTACTCATAAGTTAAAAAGACAAATTAAAAACAAAATCCAGCTATAAGTTGACCACAAGCAAACTCCAACAACAGCAGAGGAAGCTTTTAAATATTGAGTTAAAAGATTTACTAATCAAATGGTAATTGAAGGAATGCAGTATAGCAATATCAACATAATTAAAAGCAAAAACATCAAAAGAGAAAAGGATTTTATATTAATGAAGGATAAAGTCCATAGAGATAATATATATTCTTGAACTATTGTGACTCTGGAAAGGTACCCTAGCCTAAGTTAAGACTAAACTGTAAGAACTACAAAAACATTTGGCAGTTTGTAGTCAGAGTAGAAGATATAAATACATCTATCTCAGAAATAGGCACCTCAGATTTTTAAAACAAGTGAGGGTATGAAGGACTTAGATTACATAATTAACTACTAATTTGAAAGGCAATCACTAGGGACAAGTTCTCCCAAATATGAATGAGGAGACTGCAAGAAAGGATGGCTGTAGTTCAGTCATGCTTATAAATATAGATGGAAAATTCTTATGTAAAATATCAACAAGTTAAATGCAGCAGTATAGTTTTAAAATAGTCACCATGTTTGTTGAGCAAAACATTTTCAATGAAAAAAGAAAGTTGCATTTGGTACTATTTAAAAATATACACACAAAAGTAACACTGTATGTGTTCTATGAAATATATGTATTAAAACTCATAACGATAGTTGCTGGTATTGGGGGTGCACACTAGAATTGGGAGAATTGGTTAAAGGCAATTTAGTATTTGTAATTCTCTCATTTTTATAAGTCAAATGTATTCATGTGTAACTTGAAATTTAAAGTTAATTTTAAAATCCTATAGATGGAGTCTACTACATTAACACTCAAGAGCATTAATGACAACTTATTAGAACTAATACAAGAGGCAAGAAGTTGGTGCAATAGAAGATCCATGAACAAAAATCAAAATAATTCCTATTCCTTAACAAGCATCAATTAGAACATATAATAGAAAAAAGAAACCATTATGATCATGAAAACTATGGAATATCTAAGAAAAAACATAACATGAAATAAACAAAACCTATATGAAGAAAACTATAAGGCTTTACTGACATGCATAAAAGATTTGAAAAATTCCATCTCCTTATATGACTTGATAAAGTAAAGATATCGTTTCTCCTCTAATTAAACTACAATTTCAATGAATGAAAGAATCAAAATAGAAATGTATAAAAAGTTAAGAGAACACAGAAGCAGACCCATGTATATATGAAAAATTAGTTTATGATTAACACACCATTACAAATGAGTACTAATAATAGACTATTCAATATATGCTTTGGGGTCTATTGGTTATTCATTAGGAAAAAATAACGAAGTCAGATCCCTACATCAACATTCACAAAAATAAGTTCCAGATGGATCAAAGAGCTAACTATAAAAAATCTAGTAAAATATTTTAAGATTCCTTCCCCTTTCCTTCCTCCTCCTCTTCCCCGTCCTCTTTCCAAACATTTTAGTCCTAAAGCCATTAGGAATGCAGAGCAAGGAGGGTTTTCATAAGGAGAGGCTGCCTGGCACAGAATGTTTGAGCTCAAAAAACTAAGTAGTAGTAGCCTGGCATGGGGAGTCAGAGCCCAAGTGGGGTGAGAAGAGTAGATACACAGAAGGTCAACCCAGCATGGGATATCTAGATCCCAAGTGAGATGAGGATGGCATCTGTGAATGGAGGCAGCCTAGTGTGGTATGTTAGGGTCCAATCAGGATGAAGAGATACTCACGTGTGGGAAAAGCCTGGAACGGGGTATCTGAGCCTGAGGAGGGTGAGGAGACTGTTCGTGCAGGAACCATCAAAGGACACTGAAAAGACCAAGAAAGATCTTAGAAGCAGGAGGAGAACTAGCAGAGATGCATCCTGGAAACAAGGCAAGAGAGAATTTCAACTTGGAGGACTATTCAGAGAGATCAAAGGATACACTGAGGTCAAGGCAGTTGAAGGAGTGAACAGCAATATATCAGCAATTCCACCCAGTATGTTTTAGCTTGGAGGTTTTGCCAGAAATCACTTCTGGTTAGTAAAAACTATTATCCAGGGCTGGCCCCATGGCCAAGTGGTTAAGTTCGTGCACTCCGCTGCAGGCGGCCCAGTGATTCGTTGGTTCGAATCCTGGGCGCGGATATGGCACTACTCATCAAACCTCGCTGAGGCAGCGTGCCACATGCCACAACTAGAAGGACCCACAATGAAGAATATACAGCTATGTACTGGAGGGCTTTGGGGAGAAAATGGAAAAAAAAAAAATATTATCCAAGTGCCAGAATACACATTCCAGTCAAAATCCTGCCACTAACTAGCATAGTTGACTTTTACCCCAAGGGACATGAGAAGTTTCCAAAAGCCTTTAAGAAAGTTAGCAACTAGAAATTTGGAAATCTGTTTGGACCTTTATTCCTCAACTGCAAAATAATTAGAATACAATATTTTCTGTCTAAAACTGCTTCTGTTAAACAGCATAGCAATGGTGTTTTGTGTGAAAATTTAAATGTCTTATGCTATTTCTGTTAGTGCAGTGCACCTGTGACAGTTAATGAGGCAAGCAAAGCATCAGTGCTAAGCTTCTTGCCTTTTTTTATTTTTAAAGACTTTTTCTGTTGAGGAATAATTTACATCCAGAGAAATGTGCAGATCTTATGAGAACAATTTCATCAGTTTTACAAATTCATACATCCATATAACCCACACCCCTATCAAGATATAGAAAGAACAGGAGTCAACCAACTACAGCCCAGAGGCCAAATCTGACCCACTGCCTAATTTCCTACAGCCTGTGAAGACTGGTTTTTACATTTTTTTAACGTTTAAAAAAACCCTAGATTAAGCCAACCCTGGCAGTCTAATGGTTAAGATTTGGCACTCTCACCACCACAGCCCAGGTTCGTTTCCTGGTCATGGAACCACACCACCTGTCTTTCAGTTGTCATACTGTGGTGGCGGCTCACATAGAGAATTAAAGTAACAGCTAGGATACACAACCACACACTAAAGGTTTAAAAAAAACAACCACCTAGAATAGTAATAATACTTTTGTGACCATAAAAATTATACAAAATTCAAATTTCATTGTCTATAAATAAAATTAAAACAGCCACACCCATTTGTTTGTGTTTTATCTGCGTCTAATTTCATGCCATATTGGTAAAGTTGAGTACTTGCAGAGACTGTGTGACCCTTGAAGCCGAAAATAATTACTCTCCATTCCCTTACAGAAAAGTTTTGCCAAACCCTGATAGAGAACATTCCATCACCACTGTACGTTTCTAAGTGCTTTTTCCTAGTCAGTACCCCTGCCCAGAGTAACCTTTCTATGGTGATTTCCATCACCTATAGTGATTTTTATCACCATAACTTGGCTTTGCCTGTTCTTGGATTTTATCTAAATGACATAATACAGTATGCCACATCTCTGGTATCTAGCTTCCTTTACTCAGCACGTTTCCGAGATTCATTCATGTGATTACTTCTGCAAGATGTGTATTCCCTTTCATCGCTAGGTAGTATTTCATTGTCTGAATATGCCATAGTTTGTATATCCCTGCTCTGTTGATGGAGACCTGAACTGTTTTCAGTTCTTGGCTATTAGAAATATATTTGAGTTTAAGTCTACTCTCTTAGTGTTTGATTTCTGTTTATCTGCTCTGCACTTATATGTTTCAACATTTTAACGCTTTCTGCTATTCTTCCTTCCTTCCTACAAAGCCGTATTTCCATCCAATATAATTTCCCTTCAGCCTAATGAACGTTTTTAAATGGATTAACAATTTATTCAGTAATTTATATGGCATAAGGGCCAATAAAAGGAGTAATCTGATAATGCTCATGGTGCAATTCTGCCCATTGATAACACTAAGCCAAGACTTGGATATATATTCCACTCAGTTGCATTACATGTTTCCATGTGTGTGATTTGATCAAGAAAAAGAAAATATGTACAAAATGTCAAGCTGTTTCTCTTTTTCATTTTTAAGAGCAGCTCTATGATTTGAGGAGCTAGTTATACAGTACAGAGCATGTAAGGGGAAAAATACAAAATGGCACTTAGCACCAATGTCAGGACTTATCCCATTATGATTATAACTAAGGATATTATTAATTTTTGTGTTATTCACCCTGCTTTTGAGCATACATCAAAGCCATCAATTTAACTTGAGGCATATACACAATACATACACAAATGTGTGAAAAATACTTTTCCCAAGTAATACTACATTTTAAAATATTCAAAACTGAATATCAGTGCTGATTTGTGTTTTGACAATGGAACAAGAAGAGAACAACATTCAACTAGGAATGGTTATAGTGATAGTAAAGCTCTTAAATATGTCTTCCTCTCCCTTTGTACTTACACTGGCCACATGGTGTCCTGAGAGGGTTTATTATGAGAAAAATGTCAATGATAGCTTTAAGACCGTATTTTGGAAGAAACTAATGAGAAAGCAAATTGGAAGGTGAGACTTCATATTTGTCTTCAAATAAGTGATCTTAAGTTTTCTTTTTATAGAAAAAGTTTAATTCAATTTATTATAAATATATCTAAACCATTCGTTGTTGCAGCTTTCAGGTAGAAGTCAGCCCTTCTTTTATACTGATGAACTTCTTTTAGTGGATCTTGTAGCATGGATCTGCTGGCAATAAATCTTTTGGCTTTTGTCTGTTGAAAAAGTCTTAATTTCACCTTCATTTTTGAAGGATATTTTTGCTAGATATAGAATTCTAGATTGATGGGGATTTTTTTCCTTTTACCTTTAAAGATACCGATACATTATCTTTTGGTCTCTGTTATTCCTGATGAGAAGGCAGACATTATTCTTATCATTGTTCCCCTGTAGGTAATGTATCCTTTAGTCTCTGCTTTCAAAATATTGTCTTTACCTTTGGTTTTCAGCCATTTGACTCTGATGTGCCTAGATGTGGTTTTCTTTGGATTTAACCTACTGTAGGTTTACTAAACTTAGATCTATGGGCTAGTGTAATTAATTAATTTTAGAAAAATTCTCAGCCATTATCACTTCAAATGTTTTCTGTTCCATTCTGTCTTTCTTCTCCTTATTCATTCACACATATATTAAACTGTTTAATATTGTTCCACATAACTCAGATACTTTAGTCTTTTTTTTTTTTAGCTCTTTTTCCTTTTTATATCTTGGTTTGGGTAATTTCTAGTGACTTGTCTTCACGTTGGTTGATGCCTGTGCCTAACCTGCTCTTTAAAAGAATTCTTTATCTCTTATATCATGTGGGGTTTTTTTTATTTCTAGCATTGGCCCTTTTTAATAGTTTTCCTCTCTCCAGGAAAATTTCCCATCTATTGTCCACTTTGTCCACTAAATCTTTTATATATTTATCATAGTTATTGTAAAATATAGAGTGTGATTATGCTAACATATGGGACAGCTCTGTGTCTGGTTCTACTGGTTGTTTTCTCTCTTGACAATGGATTTAGTTTTCTTGCTTTTTAAAAAAAGTCTTGATTTTTTTTTTATTAAATGACAGATATAATGTGTCAAATAACAGAAGAACCTGGGGTAAATAGTATTCATGCTCAGAAAAGGGCATAGCTCTTCTTCTGTCAAGCTGTAGCATGGGGGATTGGAATAATATAGTCTATCCCGATTGATCTGGCTTTGTGTTTCTTAGTTAGATTCAGCTTATTACACACTTTGAAATATTTGAGAGCAGGTCAAAGCCAGGACTAAGGTGAGGCAACTGAAGCATTTGCTGAGGTACAAAAAGAGATAGGATCAGTAAGTGCTATGCTGAGCCATATTGCAGCCGGAGGTAGAAGGAAAATCAGTAGTACTATTTCTGTCTTTATCTAAAATTTTGAGATTTTGCTCATCATGGATTTTTTTGCATAAACTTTGATTTTTTAAATGTTGCATTAAAATATTATTTATCATAGTTATTGAGTTCTTTAGCACTCCTTTTTTGTACCAAAGGCAAGTTTCCTATTTGTTTCATTTGTCTCACGCTAGTCCTAGCCTTGTGGTATCAGAGCCTTTCTTTTAACAGGACTTGGGCTCTGAGTGCCTGGAAGGTTTGTCTTCCTTCTCTCAACCTATCCATAGATGTCAGCAGGTCCTATGTGACTGCACCTCAGAGATCTCTCAGAACTCTCCTGCCCCTCCACCAAGCAGGAGATGGTTGCTGCCTGATACTCTGTGTAAGGCCTGGAGTGCTTGTGGGATTTCTTCATGGGGATTCTCTCTCGGCTTACCTGTCTCTCCTCCAGTGGTAGGTAACCACTCCCTTATACTCAGTGTAAGGCCCAGAGTGCTTCTCCATTCTCTCGCTTCACCCTCACACTTCAAGAGGCCTGGCACCTCTGTGCCTCAGAAGGTGTCTCTCTCAGATTTCCTGCCCTAAATTTTCTTGTGAGCGCTCAGTGAAAGCTCTATGGAAAAGAGTTGGCAGTTTAATTCAGACTCCCCTGTGTTTTCGCCATGCAGGAACTCTAAACTGTCATTCTAGACCACATCCTGCCTTTGAAGTTGCATTAAAACATCGGCTGTTTTCTTCTTGCCTAAATCTATGGATACTTCCTCCTGCTGCTCTGCCAAGAATGAAATCAGCCAGGGGTGCCTTCTCTCCTAAGAGCGCTTATCATTTCTTGGATTTTTGTTCATTAGATTTCCATAAGAGCTTCTAATAGACTTAAATAACTATGATTATGTAGATTACCCAGTTCATTCTTATCATTACAGGGAGAGCAACAGTCTCTTGAAGCTTTCGGCATCTGAAGCAGAAGCAGGAGTTAATCTGGTTTGCTTTGATTACTCTTTTTTTTTCTTTTAAAGATTTTATTTTTTCCTTTTTCTCCCCAAAGCCCCCTGGTACATAGTTGTATAGTCTTCATTGTAGGTCCTTCTAGTTGTGGCATGTGGGACGCTGCCTCAGCATGGTTTGATGAGCAGTGCCATGTCCGTGCCCAGGATTTGAATCAACGAAACACTGGGCCGCCTGCAGCGGAGCACGCAAACTTAATCACTCGGCCACAGGGCCAGCCCCTGCTTTGATTACTCTTTTGATAGCAGCTGGGCTGACTCTGATCCACGGTTTGAAACTTTTGGCCCTTGGATGACCATGATCCCTGATGAACTTGCCTTTGACTCAGCCTTGACCTCAATCTTTATGTGTTCCCTGTAGCTGAACTAGGCTTGCCTACCTTCTCATTCTAAGATTATGCCTGGGTTTTTTCAATCCTATCTTATTTTTCTTTGAATCTAAGTTACTAGCACATAGCAGTTGCTCAATAAGTATTGAGCTGACCCTGAACAGTTTTAATCTATTGCTTGCCTGTTTCTTTCTGATTCCCCTGACCTGTATATTCTGAAGCAACTTCCTTCTTTACATAGTCTTCCCCAGATTACCTGATCCTTGCCTTTTTCTCTGTTATGTCTAGGGTCCATTTTCAGCATAACGGATATGACCAGGCATGGCTGAGAGGAACCAGAGATACCAGGCAGACCTGTGAGATCAGCAAATGTGCCAGGCGAACTTAGTAGGTGAGCAGAGCATAACCACAGAAAATTCTGGGCACATACACACAATAGGAAAAATCAGAGAAGCTTGGCATTCAGAGACAGGGCACAAATACACAGAAAGAAAAAAGGGACAAGACAGGACAATATGCCTAAGGGAACAGGTATAATTCACCAGTGAAGCCATTTGGTCCTGGGGTTTTCTTCACTGGGAGGTTTTTGATTACTAATTGAATCTCTTTACTCTTTATAGGTCTGTTCAGACTTTCTATTTTTTCTTCAGTCAGTTTTAGTGGTTTGTGTGTTTCTGGGAATTTGTCCATTTCATGTAGGTTATCAAATTTGTTGGTGTACAATTGTTCATGGTATTCTCTTATAATACTTTTTATTTCTACAAGATTGGTAGAAATAGCCCCACTTTTATTTCTAATTTTATTAACTGAGTCTTTTTTTTCTTGGTCAATCTAGTTAAAAGTTTGTCAGTTTTGATGATATTTTTCAAAGAACCAACTTTTGGGGTCATTAATTCTCTCAATTGTTTTTCTAATGTCTATTTCATTTATCTCCAATCTTTATTATTTCCTTCCTTCTCCTAACTTCCGATTTACCTTATGCTCCTTTTCCTAGTTTCTTAAGGTATATAGTTAAGTTATTGATTTGAGATCTTTTATTTCCCTCTGAGCACTGTTTTTGCTGCATCCCATAAGTTTTGTTATGTTGCATTTTTGTTTTCATTTGTCTCAAGATATTTTCTAATTTCTCTTGTGATTTCTTCTTTGACTCATTAATTGTTTAAGAGTATTGTTTAATTTCTGCTCTGTGAATTTTCCTGTTTTCCTTCTGGTAATGATTTATAGTTTTATTCTGTTGCAGTCAAAGTAGATACTTTGTATGGTTTCAAACTTCTGAAGTTTATTGAGACTTATTTTGTGGCTGCTGCTTATCTGGGGGATGGAGGGTGGTAGACAGGTAAGTTAAAATGCCACAATTCTCTATTACAACAATTTTTCTCTATTACAAAAATTTAGCAGCTTTTTTATTCACTTAGCATTCCCCTGGTTGTTATAAGTTTTTCTTATGTTCCAGTTTTATTTTGTTTTATATTCTGTAAAAATTGATTCAGACAGTTTTTGCCAACTTAATCATTGCTTTAAAAGAGGAACAGAGGTTTAAACTTCCCTAATCTCCCATTTTTAGTCCTTTATGATATTTTGATTTTCAGGCATTTTACCTTTACATATATCATAAACCCCAAAATACATTTTTCTTTTTGCTTAAAGTCAATTATCTATTAAAGATATTAAGATGATAAGAAAAAAGTCTTGTATTTTTACCCATGTAATTACTATTTCTAGGGTTTTTCATTCCTTTATATTGATCCAGACTTCCATCTGGTATCATTTTCCTTCTGCCTATAGGTCTTCCTTCAACATTTCTTGTAGTGTGGTGTGCTGGTAAGCTTAAGTAATTTGATTATGACGTGCCTTGAGGTCGTTTTCTTCATGTTCTTATGCTTGAAATTGTTGAGCTTCTTGGGTCTGTAGGTTTATAACTTTAAAATTACTTGAAAAAATTATTTTGTCATTCTTTCAAATATTTTTTGTTTTCCTCTCTATCTTCTCTCCTTCTGATGCTCTAATTACACTTATATTAGACCACCTGAAGTTGTCCCACAGCCCTGTGAAGCTCTGTTAAATTGTTTTTCAGTCTTCTTACTCTGTGTGTTTTATTTTGGATAATTTTTGTTGCTATGTCTACAAGGTTACTAATTTTTTCTTCTGCTGTGTCTAATCTGATGTTAGTCTCTTCCATGGTATTTTCATTTTAGACATTGGCTTTTATTATCTCTAGAAGTTTAGTTTGGGTCTTTTGTATATTTTCCATGTCTCTCCTTCTCATGTTCCTGCTTTCTTCTACCTTCCTGATCAGATGGGATATATTGATGATAATTGTTTTAATGTTATTTAATGTTACTAATTCTGTAACTAATTTAATGTCACTCTGACATACCTGAGTATATTTCAGTTGACTGGTTTTTCTTCTCATTATGGGTAGTATGTCTGGTAACTTTCAATCAGATGCCAGACATTGTGAATTTTGCTCTGCTAGGTGCTGGATGTTTTTGTATTCCTATAACTATTACTGAGCTTTGTTATGGAATACAGTTACTTAAAAACAGTTCAATCCTTTTGAGGCTTGCTTTTGGACTTTGTTAAGTGGAACAAGCAGCCCTTACACTAGGGATAATTTTACCACACTATTGAGGCCATTAATCTAAGGCTTGTTCTACCCAAAGCCCCATGAACTATGGTGCATTCTACTCTGCCTCGTACAACCACAACTATTCCTGACTCTCTGTGAGTGCTGGTGATTGTGTTCCTGTGACACAGTTATTTCCCTAGCTTTGGGTAGTTTACTTACTAATATGCTCTGATTAGCATTCAGCTAACCACTCAAGGTGGACCTTTTACAGTTATCCAGAACTTTTCCTGCAGCTTTTTCCCCCTGGTACTCTGCCTTGTGAATTCTAGCTGCCTTGGCCTCAACTCTGTCTGTCTCAACTCTATATGTTCAACTCAAGGGGAGCTCCAGACTCTGCCTGGGTCCCCACTCCCTGCACAGTGGCCTGAAAACCCTCTCAAGAAAGTAAGCTGGGGCAATGGTGGGACTCATGTTTTTCCTCTCTCAGGGGTCACAGTCTTGTACCACCTAATGTTATGTCTGTGACCAGTTGTTTCAAATATCTTTTCTTTTTTTAAATTCGTTTCACACAGAGGGGTAAATCTGGTCCCTGATGTTCCATCTTTCCAGAAACATAATTTTACCAAAGGTACAGTTCAGATCAGTAGAGGAAAAGATGAATTATTCAATAAATGGTGTCAGCACATGTAGTAATCAGGCTTCCAATTTGCAATTATAGAATCCAATTGAGACAGTTTTAACAGAAAAGGAATGTATTAAGCAACATTAAGTAGATTAAAATTTTTCCAGAAGGGTCAGAGGGTTAGGCTTTGAGGTGAAGCATTTGGAAATTAAATTAGCCTGTCCAACTGCTCAAAGGAGTGACTGCACCATTTCTGATACTGGCACCACACTTTATACTATAAATGTGCTCTGCTGCTATTGACTTCTCCATGTCTCTGTGATGTGTTTCATCACCCTCTTCACATACTACATTCGGGTAGTAGCTGTCTCCTCATGATGATTTCTTCCAAATCAAGACCTCACTTGTGCATGCCTGGTTGATGAAGTCTAGGTCATGTGCCTCACTTCTAGCCACCAGATAAGCTAGGGAATTGAGTTTTGGCTCATACCTTGAGGAGGCAGGACACATAACATCCCCGAGCATAGAAATGAGGTTCAAATCACACTGAGTGGCCACAAATAGGAAAAATGATCCCACATCAAAAACTGGATAGTCATCTGAAAAAAGATAAAGTTGAATCCCTTCCTCACACATTACCCCAGAAAGTCAAAGATCTAAGCAGGAAAAAATAAAACTGTAAAAGTACTAAAAGAAAACTTAGAATGATTTTCAAGTAACTTATTTTATATTTTTGCACCTCTGTCTTCTAATCAAGTATCTAAGAGCTTCCAGAACTAAAATAAACATTAAAACAGACCAATGAAATGCTGATGCCCTGTGAAATAAACATAAATCCAACTCAATGGCTCTGCTTAGATGTAGGCTGTACCAGTAGAACGTGGGAGTTGTTTCAAAGAGTCTACAAAGATTTTCCATCTGTATGACAAAATATCCACAACTAATCAGCTATGCTTCTGGGTTCTACCCGCCTGGCATCTCTACTTTTGTCTTCAGGTACCTCTCCCACAGAGCCCCTTTAGCCTCTAAGAGCTTTCCTGGGGGTGAGGGGTTGTTTCTTGTGTTATTAACAGTGTTGCTGGAGGTTTTCAATTGCTCTGGTAGAACAACAGACACAAGGAGAGGTAGTTGTACAGCGGAAAGAACAGGGCTTTGACTTATGAGCCCTGGTTTGTGCTCTGGTCCCATCACTTACTGGATGACTGGATACATTGTTTAATCTCTATGGGGCTCAATTTCCTCGCAGATAAAATTGCTCCAGTACTGCCTACCACACAGGGTTGTTTATGAGGGCAAGATAAAGTGATATATATTATATACATAATATATATATTCATGAAATATAAATATTCAAATTTCATGAAAATAACGTTATATATATAATGTTATTTTTATGAAAGAAGAGATGTTTAGTTATGAATATTTTTATGCATACATATTCCACCACAGTATTTATAAAATTAATTTTAAAATAGCATAGTATCATGGCACTTTCTTTTGAAGAATATGGAGGAAAATTATCCTTCTAATATATCAAGGAAGACATGGTTTGCATTGTGGAATATGAAACATTGTATATAAGTAACAGCATATATAAATCATACCTTTATAACTATCCAGGGGCTCACAGTTGAATTGGTGAGATCAAGGGGTTAAGAAAATTGAGATTGAATGAAAAGTCTTCACCTTCAGTGATGTTTTTTAGAGCCTGAAAGTCTTTCAGAATTCCATCTCATTTGCCTAAAGTGAGAGAGGTACCCCCCCTTATTTCTCATCACAAAGTTCTGCTAAGTTGACTGTTTTTATCCATTCCATATTTGGGGAAACATGAGCTTCATCCTTGGAGTTCCTGGTTTAACAAGAGCTGTGGAGTAATACCTAACCTTGGAAAGTTGAGGAAGTGTCATGAAAGGTGAACTATTTAGTAGACTACCTTAAATATTTTTTCTGACAGAAAAATTATTATGAACATTTTCTCACCTCCAAAAAAACTCAAGCATATTGTTGGCTTCATTGTTTGACTTAACAGCTATCTTGGCTTTTAGTACCAATAATGAGGCAGATTTGAGGACATAGCTGCCATGATGTGGCTCTAGAAAAGTGAAATCCCCTCACTGGTCCACTTACCTACCATGTGGCATCCTAAAAACCAACTTTCATACTGTTATACAACTATTAGAATGGCCAAAATCCAAACCAC